GCTTAACGCCTGGCCGGAGCATTTCCTAGTGCCGGCAAACTGCCGGCTCTGTTTACTACGGCAGGACACCGAGCCCTGTGCCATCTGGATCCTGTACAAGGAAGTGAGATAAATTCAGAGGCAGGGAGGCACAGAATTTCTCTCACGCATTAAAATGCAACCGGGCATCCTTGGGAAGGAGACGAATCCTCGCCATCTCCGGAGCTGGCTCCCCTCGAGCCCGGGGGAGCGGTAAAAGGCGGCGAGGAAGTCTCTGCGGAGCGCGGGCCGGGGCTCGGCAGGAGGGAGCACCGCGCAGGCAGCAGCCCGACGGGCCCGCAGACCCGGGCAGGGGCGTCCGGCGGGAGGAAGGAAGCGGAGTGCATGCACATCAGCGGGACGCGGGCCTCCAGCTCCGGGGCCCTGGGAGCGTTTGATCACCCCATGCAGGAAGCTGAAGATGACCCTGCTTTGTCCGGCATGACAGTGGGGCCAGAGTTTTGCCTGCAGAGAGGGAAAAAGAGGGAGAACAGCAGCTGGTGCATAAGTTGAATGGGTGTTGGGTCCTGCTCGCGGGAAAGTGGTACCCAGGGTCCTTCTGGAGGGCAGGGGAGGACGCAGCCCCCCCGGGGGGGACGGAGGCAATGGGTAGCGTTGGGTGATTCAGAGCAGAGAACAGCTCTCTGGTGTGCGCTGGGAATAGTTCAGCTTGGCATCGGCAGTGAAAGACGTGTTTTGGCCTCAAACACGTGTCAGCAGGCTGGAAATGGGGAGCAGAGCCCTGGGCAGCCTGTGCATCCCGCCCCACGGTCCCCTCGGCCGGGTACCAGCACCGCAGTGCCCCAGCGCGGCCACGGCTCTCGTCTGCCTGGGGGGCTCCCCGGGACCTGCTGTGCTCAGCTGCTGTGGCAGCACCAGCACCGTCTGCGGGTGCCCAACCTTTCAGTTCTTATCTCGATAGCCAAGTGCCCTTGAGCTCGAAGGGTGGCAGATTGGTAACCGACCTCAGACCTGCCCCGAGGGATCAGGAGGGGAAGGAGAGGAAAGAAGGCATATTGCAAAACCGGGTGTAAACAGCAGGCGAGGAGGAGGGGGATTTCCCCCAAGCGGCTCATCGGGGCGCCAAGTGTTTGCACCCCACGGACGTGTGCCCTGGTGGGCACCCTCGTCCCGCACGGTCTCGCTCACCCTCGGGTCCCTTCTGAGCGCCCCAGCAGAAGTCAGCCCACCCCAGACCATCAAACACCCTCCGCAATCGAGGCAGGGGCGCCACGGAGCCTGCAGAGCTCACCAGCATCTCTGACAAACAGCTAGCAGTAGGACTGGTTGGGTTTTTTCCAAAATCACGCGTTTTGAACATTGCCCAGCCATGCGAGACCCCCACTGTGCAGCCAGCTCCCAGCCTGCCCGTGTCCACCAGTCGAGGCACAAACCCGGGAAGCCAGCAAGGATTCAAAGCTGCTTTTCTCCCAGGGTTTCCACATAGCAGTAACTATCAGTTAAAAGACCCGTGGGCTCAGCCTGACATTTTCTGGAGTCTTTTACCCTCTAACAGGTACCTCTGAGAAACGCAGGTACCTCTAATGCTGAGGATCAGAGACTGGCACCTGGGAAGATCTGGATTTTTCCACCCACATCGACATTTTAATGAAAAACAACCCCCAAACATAACATACGCAAAGAGAATGCTTTATGCTCAGTGATGAAGTTAAAACCTTCAGAGCTGCATCCCTTTGCACAGGTCAGCAAAATCATTTCTGCTCCGGTGTCTCTGCACTAAAACCATCATCTAAAAACCTCTGTTAAAAGCCCAAACTCCAACCTGTGTCTGTGCCAGGTGTAATTAAAATTTAAATCCCTTCCTCCCAACAGTATACGGTTTCCAAATGGGTACATAAGGTGCCTTCACAGCAAGCCATGGACTCCACCTTGTTAAGTGCACAGTATTTTCTTGGCCTCCTGGGGAAACAGTCAATAGTTACTTTTTAGCTGCTGCATAGAGCAGAGTGACCAGAAAGCCTCTCACGCCGCGCAGCCGTGACATTGCTCTCCATCTCATACTGCGATCGATACCTGGCCTCTGCCACCTGCCCGTGATGGACTCTGAGCTCGGCATGTTGTTCCCGCTGCCTCAGACGTGACCTTCCCTTGCAGGAGCAAGCAAGGATGATCTGCCCAAAGTCCTGTTAAATAGAAGTAGTCTTGGATTAGCTTGCGTTCCCTGGCTAGGGTAACGCTTTCGTAGCTGCCATCCACCTCTGCTGCTGTGCTCCCGCGTCCACCCTCTCTGGTCCCCCAGCGCCGGGGTACCCTGCTGCTCCCAGGCAGCAAGAGCCCATTTCACAGGCAGACACAAATACTCTGTGCACAAAGCTGCAGCCACCGCTTGCAGGGCTGTTGCTATTTTGAGGGTTTCTCCTGCTATATCGGAAGAAGAATTAAGAGAGTTACATAAGCCCATCACTCGGGATGGGTAATATTGTTTTCCTTCTCTCAAGTGACACACCAACACTAATTATATAAATCACTTTAAATGAGTAGATACAGCTAATTCTGCATGCAAACATGTCGTTCCAGCTCAGCTGTGACTTGAGGCTGACCACAGCTAAAAATAAGGCACTATTGCTGCAGACGAGCTGCAATTTTCAGTCATTGCGGTCTGCAGAAGGACTCTCTGCCTGTTTGGAAAGACCAAGAGCAAAGCACAATTTCCAATAACACCCTTTCCAATAACGCAGGCGATATTACTGCTTCTTTTCCCAGCTGATGCTGCAAGCCCTTCACTGCCCCAATGAGCACCACAACAGCAAATTGATTCAGTAGCCAGAGCTTGGGAGCGGAGCAGGCTCAGGCCCTCACAAATACGGTTGATGCTCAGAGTTGGTTTTGCCAACAGATACTGGAAACTCCAGCCCGGTTCAAGTTTCCTGTGTGGTAATGGGGAAGTCCAGGTTATCACCTCTCCCAGCTCAGCGGGGACAGACAGGGCCGGTTATCCCCGGAGCACCAGTCACCTCCCACGGTCCAGTCACTGCTCTTTCCCCAAGGATGCTGCTGCTCTTCAGCATGCGAAAGCAATTGCCTTTGAGAGAATAGCCGGGCTTCAGCCGGCCGTATGCTCTCCAGATAATCCCAAATGGCCTCTAGGAAAACACAGCCCCTTGATTGGATCCACAGGGTAAAGCCTGCTCCAACTGAAGGAGCAAAAATACACAAGATTATCATTATTATTTATTTGATAACCTTCAGATTTACTCAAGACCTAGGTAGGCAACATGATATGGAGACTGTTATTGCTATTAATCTCTATTATGTACTTCTAGCATTTATGAAGTGGCCTTCCTGCGGGCCGGGGCACATACTTCACATTTCTCAGACCAGAAACAAACACTGGAAAATGAAATGCTCTTAACCCAAGCTGCAGAGAGCCTTTTCCAGTCCCTCTAAGCAGGACGCACAAAGGAAAAACCGCGTGTTTCTGCCCTGGGGCTTGGCCTAGATGCTGTGACCGGCTTTGCCCTCCTCCAGCTCCCCAGGCCGAGCCTCGCGTTACCGGCGCCGTGGGAGCGGAGGTCGGCCGCAGTCCCTATTCCCCCGTCTGCAGTGGCGCAGCTGGTGGCAAGCACAAAAGCCCTTGAGCCACTCTAGGAGGCATTTCCTAACTGTGCGACATTTTGGACAGTCGCCCACATTTCAACCGTAACCGGTTCTTGGCCCGAGGAGCTCCTGCTCGCAGCAGAGCTCCCGTGGGAGAGGACCCCGCTCGGGGTGGTGGCGCTTCCCGCGCCCTAGTGCCACCCTCCCTTCGAGGTGCTGCAAAAAACTGCGGCCACCCTGTATGATCATTTCTGTAGTTTTCTCCTTCCCATTAAAGGCAAGCAAGCCGAGGACCTCGCTGCACAATGAGGTGAACCGAGGTGGGATGCAAACCCCTGAGCAGACAATCTCCCCGTTCACGGACACGGCCGCTGCGCAGGGCGCCCGGCTGCTCGCCTAGAGGAGACTCTGCTCCCGCAGGGAAATGCAGCGCCCTCACCAGCGCCACGCAGGGCTCATTTGCACCTCGGCTGGGCTTCCCTGGCCACCTTCCACAAAGCAATTCACAGCCTTTCGCTTGCTGGAGGAAGGATGCGGTGGAAGCATCCCTCTGGCCCTGGGAAAGGCCCCTCAGCTGCAATGAGACCGTCCCCAGGGACATCCAGTCCGGGGCTCCCCAGCCTGGAAGGCAGCAAGAGAGACGGATGCGTCGCACTGACCTGCCGCAGGGGACTGCAGGCGCGTGTTCGTGCCCCAGGGAGAAACCCCTTGCAGAGTGAAATCAGCACTAAATGCAGCTCTGGGTAAAACGGGGGCTGAGCAACCGTCTCCCCCGCACGTTATCCACAGGACACATTAAACCTGCATGTCTGCAGGAAGCGTAGCCTCCTTAAACCTCCTCTTATCCCAAGGAAATCCATGCCGGGATGAAATAGCTCATTAAAAACGTGGTTGTGTCTCAGAGGAACCCAGAGCTGATCTTGTTTATATTGCTGTTCCAGGCCCACGGTGCAGACTTTCCATCGGCTCCTTAAACAAAACCCAGGGGTGGCACGTGCTGGGAGGAGACGTTTGGAGAAGGGCCTGACCCCCAGTGCTGCGCTCACTCTTGCAAAGAGCAGAGACACCCCGGGGTCCCCCTGCCACCTGCTGCCTTTCACCACCGAGACTTTGAAGGGGCCCCTGAGCCCAGACAGCCTCGCTGCCCCCAGCGCCCCGATCCAGGCTGCCACGTAGCACCGTCACCTTCCTTACGCGTTACTTGACAAAAGGCTTTTCCTGCCAAGCGCATTAAAAACGGGCACTCGCAAACACTGAGACACAAAATGGAGCAAACGGCTGCAATAAGTGTTTCTGGCGATGCTGGCTTGCCCGACCCGCAAGGTCCCACCTAACTCGGATCCCCGTTCAGGGGCTCCACTTCCAGCTCCACTGTCCTGTCCCTCCCATTGCCAGGAGCAAAGGGGCTCCCACCGCGCTCCCCCACGCCTGGGGATTGGGGAATTGCACAGATGGAGCTTGAGTTTTGCCTAAGCCTCCAGGGAGAACGACCGGAGGCTCCACAGGAATTTAAGGTACAATAACTTCCTCTTGGAGTGGGCTGATTCCCTAAAGAAAACAAGAGTAGGTTTGTTGTGTTTCAGAACAGCTTGTTCAAAAGTGGCTCTCTCCTACAGCATGGAAATCACATCCAAAACAAGGTTTGCGCTGCCTGCGCATTTAAGAAAACCAGCATCAGACGTGAGACTTTGCTCAGTAATTACACACAGCTTTCATACAAAACATCAGCAAGTTCTCCACGATTATCACCCACAAGCTGCTTTACCTTCTCTGTGCTATCCCCTGCAGAGAGTTGGTGACCTTAATCCAACTTAGTTCTTCAGGCAGCTGCCAAATGCAGGCACTGAAGCTTCCTTAGAAGATGCCCTTTCCATCCTTACTGCCATACAACTAAAGACAAAACTCGGAGACCCCAGCCCCTCTTCCCCGTAATAAGAGGAATCGGCGAGCATTGAACATCCTTTGAGTGGGAGCACGGGGCCAAAGCGTTCTTTGGCTCTATTTGTGAAGATATTTCTGAGTTTCAGCATCCAATTACAAATTATTCTTCGCCTCCCCCAGACCTTTCTTTTGTTCGTGTTGATGTGGGACTGGCTACAGCAGAGGAAAATCGTTTTCTGCCTGAAATCATTTCCAAGGCATGAGCTGCGAGATGCAGACAACCAGCTCATGCCGCACAAACCAGGCTGCTTTCTAATTAGCAGCACAGAAGCTAGCACAAAGAGACCTCGGCATTGCGCAAGAAGGCTATTTAATATGTGCACTTGCCGTAAACAGGGGACTTAGACCATCACCTGGTTAACCAAACCATCTTTCTTTGTTTGTTATTTTAATTCCTGCTCATGCTGGGTTACTTAACTATTTGATTTCTCGTTTGCACTCATGCATCTCGGCTCCAGCAGAACGCTGTGCCATGACTAACGAACAGGCCGACCCGTGATTAATTTGATTCTCTCTTTAAAGTCAGCATAGCACTCACAGGATGATGACAGCTTAGGGAAAGGCATAGAAGGAAAAAAAAAAAAAAAAGATCACTCTGCTAAATTATAAGGTTGCTAAAGTAAAATTCCACACGAAAGGAAGCCTCACGTTGCACAACAGCGTTTAGAGGCAGTTGCAGTCGGTGGCAAACACAAGGCAGACTTTTATCTGTAGCGGATGTGCATCCTTTCCTATCTTTCCAGGTCAGCATCGCCACCGTCCGAGAGCCTGGCTACACGTGACTGCAGAGCGCTTCCCCCGCTCCGGAGATGGCCAGGCACGTTGCGCGTTGCCCCCCGATAGAGGCGCATCCTGGCATTGCAGAACACCACCTATCACAGTTACACTCAAAAAAGAGCAAAACGCCAAGGGTGAATGCCCCAGGTTGCAGCCCGGCTGCAAGCTTAGTGCAGCGCTCCCAGCGCTGGGCAGCAGCAACAGCTCGCCGGCCGCCCGCCTCCCACTGCATGGGTTGGAAAATTCCCCCTGATGTCGCTTAATCTGCCCCAGTAGCAGGGCTATATAAAAGCAGGGCTTTTCAGATTAAGGTCTAATCTATTTATAGTGAGCCAAGGAACGGTGTGCTTCAGGACAGGGCTGCTGCTCGTCTGCTTCCTGGGGAATTGCAGGGCTGCAGTTATAAATAAAACGGAGGTCACCTCCCCATCAGTCCGGGTAAAAGTAAAACCTTCCCTGCTAAGTGCAGAAGTGCTACCAGCGGCACTGGCTCACCCCAGGAGCCAGTTACTGTTACTGATCCCTCATGGGAAGCGTTTTCCTACTGCCCAAACAAATGAGACGACTCCACTTCGCACCGCCTGCTACAACGGCGCGTGTCAGAGTCGGTTCAGATGCCCTCACTGACGGAGGTCCCGGCTGCGCGGCGGACAAGGAGCCCCGCTGAGCCGGGGGGCTCCGTGCCTCAGCGCGAGCTGGGGTTGAGGAGTCACCTCCAAAGCAAGGTTTTGTGCCCGTTTCTGCTGCAGAAGCCAGGGGACAGTCGGACAGTCACAGGGTGGGCCGCATCCTGCGCTGTGCACCGGCCGTAGAAACCGTTCAGCTCACAGCATCCTTATTACTGGCAATAAACCAAGAGGCAGAGCTC